TGAAGGACTCTCTTCTTTATAAGTGTTGGTATTGTTGGATTATCAAATATATATTGAGCAATTGTGATAGTATTTGGCCATCAAAAGCAGATAATTACCTAAACATTGGCAATAAGAAAAATAAATATGGCTCAGGAGAAGTCAAATGAATGTAAATTAAGTTTTTATTTTCTAGAGAGAGAACATAATAAAAAAGAATAGGAATTAGTTTCAGGTCTCCAATCAGTAAAAGGAAATCTAGTGGATATTATAAAAGGCTGTTTTACTCACAAGTGCTGCATGTCATGGTGAGAAAGACGGCATCTACCCATGAGTCAAGAATGAAACTTTCCTTAATGAGCAAAAGACTATACCTCTGTATTAATTGGGTTCTGTTGATTGGCTATTAGAGGTTGCATGACTGGCCAAGCACCATGCATACTAATTGGGAAAGAGGTAGGAATTCCCAAACAGTATTTGTTGGGTAACTGGTTGGTCTCCCTCTTAATAATGACCAAAACATTGTAATCTAGCGAATTCAAATCAGGATAGCTAAGGTGACACATTTTAGGAGTGATAGGATTGTGAAAATTCTTAGTCAGCCATTCCTGAGAAACCTGGGTGTGTTGGAGGGAGCAAAGTCCTGCTGGAACATGTATGGCCACAACCTTGATCCAGGCCTTGACAAACATATCCAGCACCTGTTGAAGGTGATGCATTAGCCCCAAATTCTTGCAGGAAGTTATGTAATAGTATAATCTATCCTTCATTGCTAACAAATGTCATGACGATTGTAGATGACATGAAATATACATATATCACCATGGGTACATCCGTGGAGTCCACAAAGAGCTATGTGTCATTCCTCCTTTTTTCCTGGTTATTTTAAAAAATTCTCTTATGTATAAATTATACTCATCTCCATGTTAATTTTTTGTTGTGGCAATAATTTTATGGATTTTTCAAACTAGATTATCTATGTTTTAATTTATTAGCTAGGTTACAGAAATCCTAAAAAGCATTATGTTGGAATTAAAAATAATTACATAACACCCAGAAAGTTTATAAAGACAAAAGCTTTGAACAAAATATTGAAAACAATGTCATTGTAATGATGACAAAATTATAAAGACAGAATTAATTTGAATTATTAGCACTGTGTTCCAAAACTATTTTTAGAAGTTATTGATTTGATGAACTGGGTTTTTTCTTGATATGATTTTGTGAACTACTTTCTTTCTTCATATAAATTTTGGAAGCAGATTTTTTTCTGCATATGATTTGAAGGAGTGCTTTCTTTGTTATATGATTTTGTGAATTGCTTTCTTTCTTGAGATGATTTTGTGAACTGTTTTCTTTCTTGAGATGATTTTGTGAACTGTTTTCTTTCTTCATTTTATTTTGGGAACTGCTTTCTTGTTTGATAGGATTTTGTGAACTGCTTTCTTTTTCATATAATTTAGTATACTGATTTCATATTTTCATAATTTTGTGAATTGATTTCTTTCTTCATATGAAACAGACTACACTGCAAAATTCATGTACTGGTAAAATGCAATCCATCAATATAAACCTTCTTCAGAATACTCTTCAATTTTTGTTTTGAGTTGGATTAAGAGTTGGTGAACAACATAGCCATTTCAGGAAATAAGTATATTTGAAGCCCATATTGTTCATGTGTTTACTCTGCCAAATATAATGCAGTTTTGTCTTATACAAAAATAATATTCTTTCTGAAAGTGTTTGGCTTCTTCTTGAAATATGGCTCCATGTTTTGTCACAACATCTAAGATGAAACGTTTTCAAAACTTCCTCACTACCACAATGTCTAAAGATTTTATATAGCTTGAGAAAGATGAATTTTTTTTCCTCTTCATTTGGAACATGGCACTTAGCGTTCTTACTTCAGAGTAATCTGTGAGCTTTAACAAATTTCTTCACAGTTCAATGGCACCTGCCAATCATTTTTGCAGTTTCTGGAATTGTCTTAACTTCGGCAAGTTCTGAAGCTGTTAAACATCTCTCTATATCAATCAGTTTAGCATTGTGATCTATTTTCAAGCTCTTAACTCACAATATAGCTTTAATTTGAGACTTCAGGACAGTTTCTACAAATGACTGATGCTTGTTTGCATCTGCACAAAATGACTGCTTTCATCCTAATTTTTCAGATGTCATCATTATTTAGCAAAAACTCTTTAGTTATTCCAATAAGTATTTATTTTATATATCAATAAATCATACAGTTACTAATAACTTGAGATTCTGTGTGTGTGTGTGTACGTGAAAGGATGCTAGAAAGCCATTTCAGGAAATAAGTATCTTTGAAGCTTATATTTTTTTTTTCCTCAACTAAACGTAGGGTGTGATGGGTAAATTGTCAGCATTTTATATTTTTAATTTTGTGCATAGATTGGCCAATGGAAGAAACATCATAATTTTTTTTAGGACTTTTAGTCAGCTTGAGAAATTTCCAGCATGAGTTGTATATATATTTAATATATCCATTTAATATATATTTAATATATCCATTTAATATATATTTAATATATCCATATATGTGTAATTATCAATATCCAATCTATTAAGAACATTTAAACTACTTATCTAGTTGGCTGTTTCAAGTGTTTTAACCAAAATCTGTCCATGATGAACATTTCAACATGAAATTCTTGAGTCAGCTAACCCAATAAGTCATTTGAACTTTTCTTGATTTATTGAGTATTATAGCTCTAGTTATCTACTGAGTACTTTTCTGCAGAAGTTCTACTTACCTGAAAAAACATGTAATTTTCTGTTGTATTATTCCATTATTATATATATATATATATATATATATATATATATATATGTTGGGGGGATATGTGATATGTACATATATGTTATACACAATCTGTAGTCTGATATACAAGAGAAATAAATAGCCAGGTTGATCATCAAAAATATCAATTAAAATATTCTACATATATTTTCTTTATCTAATAACACCAATAAAAACATTGAACAAGTATCAGTTGCCATAACAAATGATCACAAATGCAGAAAAAGCAGACTGCTTGAATAAATATCCATTAATAGGGTTAGTAAATAAAGGATGACATATTTTCAGGAGATCATTTTGAGTATTCGGGTCTAAATGATAGGATATGGTTAAAAGCTATACAAATATTAAATGGATATACAAATATTGTTACAACCATGGATTAATGCATTTTCATGTAAAATGTGTAAAACCTCTAGTCCATCCCCAAATTGTCAAGCAGATCCTCAAAAATGAAAAAATTGAAAATAACTTACCTGAAACATCATTAGCGGTATAATTTCTTTTAAAATCAGATTGTTTGTAGATTTCATGACATGACCCCAGTACCTTCAACCTTTAATATATTAGTTATCAATTTCTCTAATTTTTTTCTATTTTTTGCATATTTCTATTCAAATTCTATTCTTTGAGTTTTAACTGAAAATCCAAATGCTTTATCAATTTTTGTCTTTTGATAGGGTAACTCTTAAAATTATTGAGCCAAGTACAAATATCTGTCTTGTCTATTACATTCACTTTTGCACTCATACTCTTAAGAAAGGCAAGAATACACCTCTTCTTCTCATTACTAGAATTTAAATAGTAGAGTAGACTGGGTTTTCTAGTCTTGAATGGTAGTCAGTCTAAACTGGGGAGGAGATAAGGAGAAAATACATCACTATCCTTCTGAAGAAAACATGCCAGTTCACAGATAATAAATAAAATGAATCTGTTGAGAGCTATGATTGTCTATGTCCTGAAGAAAAAAAGGTAACAAGAAACCACTCAACTATTATTCCTAAGGAGTTAGGGTAATTCACAAATAATAAAGAAAAGGAATCTGTAGAGAGTCATGATTGTCTACATCTTGAAAAGACATGGCAATTTAAGAAATATACCTTTTTGCAGTTTCCAAGAATTTAAGAGAATTTTGTAAAGACTACAATAAATATTAATGGAAGAGTACAATATCTAGTGAATACAGTATATGAGTAAAATCCTACAACCAACTTGTAACAATATTTGTATAGTCATCAAAGAAAGATGCAAGCTAAATCTGATGAAATATTGTCTTTTCTCTTAACAAATTCCAGACACTTTTCATCTGTGGCTACCTCTGATGGAAGCAGTACTTATTCAAATCAATTATTTAGTTTTCTGTAAGGAGCTCACAATATTCCCTTGCATATCTTTCAACAAAGACTTGCTTTTGTTACAGTTAGTGATAGTTCATTCCATTTGCTGTACAATCTCTTACATTCTACATTGTTGTAAAGTATGCACTTTTCAGTACTCATTATAATTTGTTTTCAAAACAACATTTTTTGTTATGTTTAGCTGGTAGATTTTTTTTCACTTAGATTATATGGAAATGATGCATCAAAGCAGCAAACATAACAAGATTAGGGTAAATGATTTTCTTTGCTTGATTTGAACATTTAGAATATATAGGTTGTTTTCTCACATTCTAAAATGGTAATTATTCTCAGGTAATGTCTTCATTTGATTGCTATCGATTTCAGTTGATCTACTTAACTATGGTAAGTAATTCAATGAAAAATCTCTGACATGAACCTTTACCAACCACTTTTGACACATTTGATCAGTCAGAGTACCTTCTCTATAAACAACATCCTCGAAGTACACCTCTGTTGCTTCAAGTATCCTCTTCCTATGGTGATTTTCTAAGTGTATCTTAGATGTGGCACAAGGCCAAAGGTATGAGGCAACCAGTGAGGATTGAACTCACTATTCAGTTACAATTGTTCTAGCAAGACAAGCTGTCTAACCATTACAACACGTTGAGGTGCCCTATCCTCTTCATATGTGAGTAAATTATTCAGCATTTACTGCCATAAATGAGGACTGATATTTCATAACAGGTGAACACTTTTTCTTTGTTTCTAATGAAATTTTCCTGTTTCTTAATACATTGGAAAGCATCTTTTGCTATTCAAATAAAATTTGTATCAGTATTTTGATAACCAGGATGCATAAAATGTTTTCCCTTGTTTTGTTTCATTTGCAGCATGAAGAAGTCTACTGTAGTGTATTGAACAGTCTAATACATCCCCTGGGTACACCAGACACAATATTTGGTTTGCGACCTGGAGACTTGACAGACTATCTCAGAACAGTAAGTTTTGATACTTTAATCTGTTTCTAGTTTTATTAAGTAGCTCTACATAATAGTTATTTAATCTGACCAAGTTCTGCATGTTTGGGACACCCTGTGAGGATCAAGCTCAATACTGTAGTTTGGCATGCTACTTTGCTCTTCTTTACATCAGGATATCTATAAAAACAAAAACACTATCAACTTTTTATTAAATTAATGATATAACCAAAATAGATTGGTTGGTTGTTTAGGAGCATATCAGTCATTTAATGTCAAAATCTAAATATTTTGTACACAAGCTTATGACTTCAACTATGGATATTTTGTATATAATTTTATACCTTCAGGGTAAATGTATGTTTTATAATATTTATAATTTGTAGTTGATCTATTGTAAGTGTTTTGGTATAAACTAATTTCTTTAAGGTAGGACATTATGTTGACAATTTCAGTATTTTCAAATAGTTTTCTCACACTGTTTTCCTTGTAGTATTCATGTTTTACAGGTACATTCAGTTAAAATGTGTTTCCTTATGAGTACAGTGTGGCATGTTGTACATGGTGGTTGATCTTTGCTCTTTAGCAAGTATGAATGTCTAAGGTATGTGTGGCCTATGTGTAGATAAGCTAGTGTTACTTTATCTTTTCTTCCTTTTCTAGACATTTATTTCCATTCACTGAGGAATCGTTTGATTGTGAGAAGATTATTATTTGTGTTGTTGGTCCAATGCTTTTTGCCATTTCTTTTAAATGTAGCTGATTATTTTATTTTATTATTTAAGTCCATATATGAGATCTTGAAATTACCAGGGGTTTTATTTTGGACACACGTTGCAGCTGAATCTGATTGATCATTTCCTCAAATTCCTATGTGGTTTGGGATTCAGTGTAGCACTATTTCTTTACTGTTGGAAAATGTATATAGTTGACATAGCAATTTTAGTAGCAGTGGTTTGTCAAGTTTTTTAATTTTTGGTTTGATTTCATTTGATTGTTGTAGTTTAGAGGTATATCAATCATTATGTGTTATTTAATGTCGAAATATAGATATTTTGTATGCAATTTTTTACATTCAACTACAGATATTTTGGACATAATTTTATATGTTCAGGATAAACATATGTTTTATATTTATATAGTTTATAGATGGTCTATTGTAGGTGTTATATGTTTTGGTATAAATCTATTTCTTTAAGGTAGGACATTATGTTGATGGTTTCAGTATTTTCAAATAGTTTTCTTATGGTGATTTTCTTGGGTATTTGTAATTTTGTCTCACAATTTCTGTTTTATTTGTTAAATTATGGTAATCACAAATCCTGTGACCCATTAGGGTTGTAGGGGCACCACACATACCGCAACCACAGCAGTGGTGGTGTTTTATAAGCAAGACAGCCTGATAGAGTCCAACCCTCTTAAGCTAGTTTGAATTCAGTTTTCCTTTTATTTGACCAGTTGCCAACCAAGGCTATAGGGCCCAAACTGTCCTTCTATTTACTGGAAGCTGAAGGGTATAAGCATGTAATGAAAAAAATAGAAATCTGAAAATTTAGAATGATGCACATGCAACTGATACCATATCACTGAGCAATGGTTAGCAAACTAGCCTGAGAAACATCAACAAGGAGGCCTACATCAAGTGGCTTGAGGAGGTAGTGCTTCCCTGGATCAAGAGGGTGGCTGCTGGAAGACCCTTTGACTGGCAGCAGAACTCTGTACCATGCCACACAAGCAGTAGAACCCAATCATGGCTGTCAGACAATTTCTGTGACTGCATCACCCCTTACATCTGGCCACCTACTGAGTAAGTTTGATGCTCATGGGGAGTTTGCATTTTGTCAGACTAAATTAATCTATGGTATGTGTATGTGTGTGTGTGTGTGTATATATATATATATATATATATAGATAGATAGATAAAAAGATAGATATAGGGTGTGATGGTTAAATTGTCAGCATTTTATATTTTTAATTTTGTCAACTCCACAGTATAGTAGGGTTAGTTGGCCACCATCTGTGAACAAAGAGCACCATGACGCAATTCACTCTGCCAGAAATTTGGAAACAGCATACTGTACTGCTTGGCTCCAATACAAACATTTCAGAGTGTTTAGGTGTCAATCTGCAGACAGCTCAGAGAATTCAGAAAGAGTTGGATGAGTCTGATGGGGATTACAAAGGTCTTTGGTGTGATCACTTGTGATGGCAATGTTAAGCCTCTATTCATTTTTCCACAGGGCCTCAGATTCAACAAAGAGGCCTACATCTAGAAACTTCATAGCAAAGGAGGAGGTAGTGCTTCCCTGGATCAAGAGGATGTCTGCTGGAAGACCCTTTGACTGGCAGCAGAACTCTGTACCATGCCACACAAGCAGTAGAATCCAATCATGGCTGTCAGACAATTTCTGTGACTGCATCACCCCTTACATCTGTCCACCTAACTCCCCAAACTGCAACCCCCTTGATTATTATGTGTGGTGCAGAGTTGATCAAGAAACCAACAAAACTCCTTGTATCACCAAAGATGAACTGAAGGCAAGGATTATGATAGCATTCAACAACTTAGACTGTTCAGAAGAGTTGCAGGAGATTCTAAAGTTGTCTGGAGGCTGTGGTTGAAGACAGTGGTAATTTTATTCAATAAATCTACACTTTAGTATTTGAAGATATTTTTGCATAATTTTGGTAAATATACCTGTTAAAATGAGATGTCAGTGTTATTTTCATTTTTGTATAATTTAGATAACAATTTATCTATTGCACCTTGTATATATATATATATATATATATATATATATATATATATATATATATATATATATATATATATAGTTTAACATTTACAATCCAAGATAGTGTGCACATAGGAAACAAAACTGTCAGTTTGTCAATCAATGTGATCAAGATTAATGCATAAAATGCATTCTCCATGCAGTGTTGATTCCTATATCCACTCTTCTCCACACTCACTTTCTCTCTTTCTCTTTTTCTTTCTCTCTCTCTCTCTCTCTCTCTCTATATATATATATATATATATATATATATATATATATATTTCAATTAATTAATTAATTGTCTTAATGTTTTCTCAATATATTTCTATATTTCTATTCTTTACTTAGGTATTCTGGGTGACATATCCTAAGGGTTCTCACGTAGAATCTTATGACTAATTCTGATTTTATTTTTTGATTGTGATGGGTATAGAAATTAATTAGATTGTTTTTGTCAGTGGATTTACAATAAACATTAAAATCTAATTAAGACAAGCATTTTACTAGATATCTAAATGTAAAATAAAAGATAATGGTAAAATAAACTAAAAAAAAAACAAACAATTTTTTTAACATTTACAAATAAAGTATTTATACCGATACACATTGTTTTTTATATGAGGCTTTTTCATCTAGAAATCAAACCAGAAGAAATGAAACTTAGACTTTAATTCATCAGTTCACTTTTCTATCACCTGAGATGAACAGACATGTGCCAAATATATATTAGAGGTAATGATGCTGAATTGTCCAACTTTGCTATGAAGTTTCTGGTATTTATTATTTTCTTTTTTTATGACAACCTCATTCTGAGAATTCTGATTGCTTTGATAGAATGAGTTCAAGAAGACACCTGCACATTATTCAATGGTAAACATTTTCCTTGTATTTAATGCATTAAGCAATAATTGCAGACAAATTTACATCCTCTCAGTTTTTCTGGATTGCAGGCTACACATTGAAGGTAAACAGGCATTTTATCCAGATTAATTAACGTGTCTGAATATTAAATAAACATGGAATGCCTTTCTTGAACAATGTCTTCTTAAAAAGAGAATGATGTCGTTTTCTCTGGGCTAGAATTGATTAATTAGAACTGGAAAGAAACAACTGATATAATGCAGGATGGAGGACAGTTTGGCAAAGATTGGCAGCTGAAAGACAATCTGGTCTGAATGATGTCACTTCTGGATTTCTTAGAATTTACAAAATGGCTATTTATACTCGGCAAAATATTAATTTTATGATTGCAATTGATGTAAATGTTCACTTCATTTTTTTCTCTTGCTTGACTTTTTTGCTCACAAGAAGTAAACACTTTTACAGATGTATACCAGATTACTTCTCTTACTACAGTGTTATACAGCAACATATATAATTCATCTTGCAAAAAATAAAATATCTGTAAGGTAACATTATATGTATTACACTACATCTATATACAGTGATATATATATATATATATATATATATATATATATATATATATATATATATACACACATATATAAATATATAAACTAATGAATCTATCTCAGTCTGTTCATATGTACATATGTATGTCATAAATAAAATATTTGTAAGGTAACATTATATGTATTACACTACATCTATATACATCTATATTACAGCTGTATATATATATATATATATATATATATATATATATATATATATATATATATATACACACACACATATATATAAATATATAAACTAATGAAATCTATCTCAGTCTGTTCATATGTACATATGTATGTCATTATCTATCTCAGTTCATATTCACTTTTCATGTCTCTCTTCGTTTATCTATCTCACAATTAATATGTACATGTGTATGTAAATATCTATATTGATATCTATCTATCTCTTCACATCTATCTATCTATACATAAAAGGGATTTACATTTAGACAACAATTTAAACTTGCTCGTAATACACAGAACAAAACTGGTCATAACTTTGATTTTATAAATGCTGATACACATTGTTTTTTTTATATGAGACTTTTCCATCTAGAAATCAAATCAGAAGAAATGAAACTCAGACTTTAATTCTTCAGTTCACTTTTCTATCACATGAGAGATGAACAGTATTACATACATCTATATATATATATATATATATATATATATATATATATATATATATACATATATATATATATATTGTGTATTTAGGCAGCATATTTTCATTTATACACGTTTCATTAAATAATATAGACAAGTGTTGTCTATTTATTTTATGAAAAATTTTTCGTATCTTCTGATAAGTTTGATAACATTATCATTAACTTGAAAAAAAGAAATTCACAAATTTATCCATTATTTTTTTAATATAATCTAAGCTTTTCAAGCCATTATATGTAAATTACAAACATATCAAAAACTTGACAGTGATGATAGTCTGTCATTGTTTAATTTTACATAGTGGATCACTAGCGATGAACACGCATATATAAGATGCTAGAAGCGAAAATCGCACCGCATCTCATGGCGTCACACATGACTACACGAGAATGAATTGGAGAATGAAATAAGGAAAGCCGTTGGTATAAACCAATGGCTTCTAACAATTATAGAAATTATAGACATTTAAGAATATTTGTAGAGATTCCATAGTTGATTTTGTTTTTGGGTTTTAACTGTTTGATGTATAATGCTTCAAGTATTTTAGTTTTTTGTCTATTGTTTTCCATCTACAATGAACGGAAAATGCGGGCAGGCATGTTGTTTAAATGCCTAAAAATGTTAGAGTTTTCATTAAAATGTAAAGCGTCGTGAAAGCGAGTTTGTGGTTCAACATAAATATTATTTAATTCGTTGAGATACACTCTCCCAAAGGGCACTTGAATTTATAAACTATGTTGGTTTTTTGCAAATCGCTAATGAAGAATCATTATATATTAAGTTGGATATATATATGATTAATTTAATTTTTTGCTAGGATCTGTAGTTGATATATAGAATTTACTAAATTTTTTAGTATGTGTTCATCTTGTTTATAATTATATGCATTTATTACGATATAGAGATTAATATATTTGAGATCAGTAGAAGCAGTATTATGTACAATTTGCTTATTATTGAGATTTCTAAGAAAGCATCTTATTTGTTCATCAACTATATAGTTTGGAAAGCTATTATTAATAAGTGTCTGTTTTATATTCTTTAGTTCACTGTAAAAAATCTGTTTTGTGGATGAATTAGTTTCTGCACAATGTATTAGATTCTTTATAATTGTTATTTTGTAGTAATATGGGCATTCGCTCTTGTAGTTAAGTGTACATGAATTTATGCTTGTAGGTTTTTTTGTATGGCGAAATAGTAAATTTGTTATTATTTGTGTTTATCAATATGTCAAGGAAGGGGATTTTATTATTAGTATTGAGTTCATATGTGAATTTAAGGACAGAATTATTTTGGAACCGTTACTTAAGGCCGAGGCACTGAAAGATCGACATGATAAAAGCAGAAACTCCTCAAAAATTCTTTCTAAACAACTGAAAATTGACGCACAAGAACTACGTAACCACCCTGACATTATTGTAAAAAAAGCTGATAAGACCAACATTTTTGTCATCCTAAACAAATTGGATTACAACAAAAAACTAGACCACATACTCCATGATCACATAAAGTTTAAAAAACTTAACAAGAACCCGATAATAACTAATAATAAAATCCCCTTCCTTGACATATTGATAAACACAAATAATAACAAATTTACTATTTCGCCATACAAAAAACCTACAAGCATAAATTCATGTACACTTAACTACAAGAGCGAATGCCCATATTACTACAAAATAGCAATTATAAAGAATCTAATACATCGTGCAGAAACTAATTCATCCACAAAACAGATTTTTTACAGTGAACTAAAGAATATAAAACAGACACTTATTAATAATAGCTTTCCAAACTATATAATTGATGAACAAATAAGATGCTTTCTTAGAAATCTCAATAATAAGCAAATTGTACATAATACTGCTTCTACTGATCTCAAATATATTAATCTCCTATATCGTAATCAAAATGCATACTAATTATAAACAAGATGAACACATACTAAAAAATTTAGTAAATTTAATATATCAACTACAGATCCTAGCAAAAAATTAAATTAATCATATACTACACTAAATCTAGTATATCCAACTTAATACTTGCGAATGATTCTTCTCCCCGGTTAGCGATTTGCAAAAAACCAACATAGTTTATAAATTCAAGTGCCCTTTGGGAGAGTGTATCTCCAACGAATTAAATAATATTTATGTTGGTCACACCACAAACTCGCTTTCACGACGCTTGACACTACATTTTAATGAAAACTCTAACATTTTTAGGCATTTAAAACAACATGCCTGCCCGCACACACACAATTCCAGTAAAATACTTTGTCGAAAACACAACTATACTTCGACATGAAAACAATAGACAAAAACTAAAAATACTTGAAGCATTATACATCAAACAGTTAAAACCCAACCTAAACAAAATCAACTATGGAATCTCTACAAATATTCTTAAATGTCTATAATTTCTATAATTGGTAACAGAAGCCATTGGTTTATACCAACAGCTTTCCTTATTTCATTCTCCAATTCATTCTCGTGTAGTCATGTGTGACGTCATGAGATGCGAAAGATTTTCGCTTCTAGCGCCTTATATGCGCGTGTTCATCGTTGCTTAGTGATCCACTATGTAAACTAAACAATGACAGACTATCATCACTGTCGTGTCCGTATATTGTTTGATATGTTTGTAATTTACATCTTTGATAATGGCTTGAGTAAGCCGAAAGCTTAGATTATATTAAAAAATAATGGATAAATATTGTGAATTTTTTTTTTCGGTTAATGATAATGTTATCAAACTTATCAGAAGATACGAAAATTTTTACATAAAATAAATAGACAACACTTGTCTATATTATTTAATGAAATGTGTATAAATATATATATATATATATATATATATATATACACACACATATATAAATAATTCTTTAAGTGATTACTAATAAATATTTTACTAACTATAAACATACATCAAAAACATTCTATTAGATCACCAACCTTTACTGAATTCATTCTTAAAGAATCTAACATGCTTATCTAAAACAAATGGTATGTATACAAAAACGTTCCCAATATACAAAAAACTAACAAGCATAATATGTGCTAGACACACACACACACACACACACACACACACACACACACACACTTATGAATATACATTGTCATCTTAATTCTACATAGACAAACTCGAATTATATCCTTACATACATAAAGCAATATTTACGGTTTTTCAGTTAGGCTTGGAATATGTTGATTTCTGGGAACTTCAAATAAGCATGTCATCTCTCCTTGATTTCAGAACACCAAGCCAAATGAATTTGAAAACTGTTTAACCAAAGAAAATCAAACAACACAAAAATAAAAATACCTTTCTTCTTTTTCTCCATATTTTATTCTCTAATGGAGCCATGTTAGATTGATGAATGTTTCTCATCTTATCATTCTGTGAGATTCTGATTCATATTTGATCTCAATCTATCTGTCTACCTCCTACTTGGAATATATTTATATATAATTTTAAAACACACACACACATATATATATATATATATATATATATATATATTAAAAATATAGTTTTACGGTCAACATCCAGTGGTGACAGTTCACCTCATGCTTAAGTGCAATCTTCAGGCTATGTGTATTGTGTCATTATTTCTACTCAATAGCCCCTACAATAATTTGAAACATAACTGTTACTGCCCACCTAATAATTGTTAGAATAATACATTAGACCTATCAATAATAATACACCATTGACCAGCATATGAGAGTATGCTGGTCAATGGTGTATTATAGTGTACAAGACCAAATTATGTCATGGCCTAAGTCTCAAACACAAATTAAATTTATAGTTAAGCCTGAATGTGAGATTTTAAATATGATTTCCTGGTTTCCTATAAGAAAGGGATGTCTGCAAGATAGGAACAGGGCATGCGAAATACAATGATCAGTGAAAGAACTACAGAAAACACATGAAGTCAATTTAATATAAACAGTTTAATAACATGAAAACATGAGAACAGACAGAGAAAGTAAAAAGAGATAGTTTGTTTGAGTGACATGCAGTGAATGTGTCAATGGAATTCACGTATTACTTATCTGCGCCTTAGAGTTAATGTATCACATGTTCTTATAAAACTGCATTTGAGTGATAAGTTCATAACAACAGAATTCTGGATTCATGGATAATCTCAATGATTATTATCTGTTAAGCAAATGCTATGGTCACTGAACTTAGTTTTTGAGGTATATCCATAATTCATGGATATGGTAAAACTGGTTAAATCCACAGTTCCCTTGATTACTGCCTAATCTGTTCCTCTGGACAGATACAATGCAGGAGTTGATGTCCTTCTCATTTGGTCGCTATCTTCCACCTGTCAATTCTTGAATTTTGGCGTCTTTTAGTGATCATGTGACCTGCCACAGGGTTGACATGTATGAAATCCTGGGTCAAGTGTCCATCTACCAATGTCATTAATGGTGTAGGGAAATACATCTCTTGACTGTCACCATTCCCCTGCATGCATATGTGAAGTAAACTGGCCAGAAGGAAGAGGAAAAGAAATAAAGAAAGAAAGAACAAATGAACAAACGAACAATGTTTCTAACTATGAGATTAGTCCTTCTTCCTCTTTTTTAACATGTTACTAGTAGTTATCATGTCACAATATATATATATATGGTTTAAAATTAAAAGTTGTTATTGGCACTGTTATCTCTGAGAGATTAAATAAATTTTAGTGGCTATGTTGACTGGAACAGACTGGTACATCCAAAGACATCACTCCAAAGACATGTGTCCAATTTAAAACACTCCTTATAGACAAACCATTGCTTCATTGAAAATGATTACTTTTCGGAATGGCTAATAATGCCAAGATTTAATAATTGTTTTTTATTCATATTAGCTGTCGGCCTATCTAATGAATATATTTTCTTTTTTTCTTTTCTTTATTTTAGGCTTTTCATATTAATCAAGAAGACCATGAAGTGTTCATTAAAGAACAGAACAATAAGGTATTTGATTAATTGGATACGAATTATATTTAATTATGATACTTTTCATCTGAAAAGAAAACAAAAACATTTGTTTGAATATTTATTAGCTTTCTTTGCAATTTAGCACACGTCGGTGTATGGGATGTCTGTGTGTTAATTGTCCTATACTTAGCAAGTTTCTTTGGTGGCCTATTCTTTTTACATGATAAAAATAAAAATATCTCTACAGCTTTTAGAAAATCTCTGTTTTTCTGTATCAGTCTTTCCAGATGAGGGTGTTTCCAATTGGAATAGTTAAGAGGGCAGGAAAAAGTTTTAAAAAAAATCATCATATACAAGGAAGTACTGAAAAGCTTTTGACTCTCACAAAAAATGGAAAATCTGAAGTTTAGCCAAGTGCTAGGAAGTGGGTCAGGCTAATAACTTTTCAGCATACCCTGTCTGTAAACATATCTTTCTACTTCCATACCAGCCAAGAACCTCTTACTAACTTTCTGTTATTAACATGTGGATTGAGCTTTGTTCTGTGGCTTCCTTCATGACATCCCTTGGAATGCAGTTTTTAATTATCCTGTTCATAAATGTGTGTCTGAGGCCTTCTCCTAGGTGAAAGCCAGCTTCAATGCTTTCATCCAAGCAAGGTAAGTTAAACTGCATTCATCTCTTTGGTTCTCAGTTCATATTCACTTTTCATATCTCTCTTCTCTTATCTATCCCACAATTCATATGTATATGTGTATGTAAGTATCTATATCGATATCTTTCTATCTCTATACATCTATCTATCTATACATAAAAGGGATTTACATTTAGACAACAATTTAAGCTTGCTTGTAATACACAGAACAAAACTGGTCATAACTTTGATTTTATAAATGCTGATACACATTTTTTTTTATATGAGGCTTTTCCATCTAGAAATCAAATCAGAAGAAATGAAACTTAGTCTTTAATTCTTCAGTTCACTTTTCTATCACCTGAGATGAACAGTATTACACTACATACAGTGATATATTACAGTTGTATATATATATATATATATAAATATATATATATACATACACACATAAATAATTCTTTAAGGGATTACTAATAAATATTTTACCAACTATAAACACATCAAAAACATTCTATTATTCTTTACTGAATTCATTCTTAAAGAATCTAACATGCTTATCTAAAACAAACGGTATGTATACAAAAACATTTCCAATATACAAAATTGATTCATATGGACTATAGCAACTATGCATGCAGGCATGCATAGATGCTATAGTCCATATGAATCAATTCTGGCTGTACTAAAGCGACATGTCTGATTGCAACAGATGTCTCTTTGTCTTGCTGCTTCCTGATTCTTTGGAATTCCTCCTCTGTTGTTCCTGTTTTTAAGAACTCTGTTTCTTCTATCACCCTAATGCTTTTGGCAAAGTATTCGAGGCTTTAATCAATGCTGACATGGTTAAGCAGCTTAGCTCTCATGACCTACTCTCTGACAAACAATATGGCTTCTGTTTTGCCAGATCTACTGCTGATATGCTAACAGCCATCACTGAATATGTATATCAAGTTCTTGATAATAACAGCAAAGCTTGAGCTGTGGCTCTAGATATCTCAAAGGCGTTTGACAGGGTTTGGCATGCTGGTCTTCGATGTAAGCTCCAGGGCTATGGTATTACTGGTCGATTGTTTGATTTAATCCAATCATTCCTATCAGTGAATGTGGGTGTCCCCCAAGGCTCTATCCTGGGTTCTATGCTGTTTCTGATCTTCATCAATGATCTATGATGTCATCAGTTCCCAAGTAGTCATTTTTGGTGATGACAAAGTCAACTTGGCCACTGCTCTTGAAAAAGACCTCCAATCAGCGGTTAACTGTTGCAGGAAATGACTTGTAAATATGAATGCCTCCAAAATGAAACTTTTCTCATTTAACCACTGTAGAGAAATTTTCCTGCCCACCATCAGCATGGCTGATGCTAGACTCACACTGTGCCTTCTGGGCTTCACATTTTCAACTGACTTGAATCAATAACTGCATCTACTGCAAAGAAATTTGGGTCACTGTGTTGTGCCAGAAGGTTTTTCTTGTTAGAGTCCATCTTGCACATTTACAAATCTACCATTCGTCCATGCATACTGTTGCCATATCTGGTCAGTTGCTCCTGCTATTCATCTTGAGGTCCTTGACAAAATCCAAAGGAGAATTTGCAATGTAATTGATCCTGACTTGCCATCTCAATATTAGTCATTTTCTCACCAATGTGACATAGGTTCCCTCTGTTTTCTACAAATATTTTCATGACTACTGCTCTGAGGAGCTTTTTCCCCTGGTGCTTGGACTGTGTTTAAGCATACTACTAGATTGGCATCTAGGTCCCACCCTTTTACTGTTGAATTAAGTAAATGTAACCACCACTTCTACTCCAACAGTTTCTTTTCTTGCACTTCCCAACTGTGGAACTTCCTTTCATTTCTTTGCTTCCCTGATAACTACAATCTTCAAAAATTTAAATGCAATATCAATTGCCATCTTCTATCTTCTTGAACCCTATTCATCTTTTATCCTCTCCTCAGTCTCCTCTATACAGAGTCTTTTCTCTTTCCTTCACTCTCTGTAAACCCCTGCATACTAGTGGCATTCCTGTCTTGCTTGGGGTGAAATGATTAATAAAAAATGTGTAATGGGTTATCATCATGCAAATCAAATGAAAACACAAGAATTAATTTCTTATATTTAATGTTACATTATATTCCACTCTGGATTTTGTCAATTAATGCCAGCCAGTATGTGAGAGCAGCCCTAAGCCATTTGTTGGAAACATGAACTTTACATTTTCATCTTCGATCTCTGAGAGAGTTTTTTCTCCTCTTCAGATAAGTGTTTATATAACTGTGATATGGCTTTTTCTCATGTGTGCATTTTAGGTGCAACTGTGACATGAATCTCAGCAGCCAGGAGGTCATGTGTCAGGTGAACTCTATACCTGGCTCCTCTAAAGGACACAGAGGGCTAAGTCCATTCTGGAATGATCTGGTATGTGATACATAAAAAAAGAACAAATCAAAGACAGATACATATTTAAGCAAACAAATATATTTCATTGCTGCATTGTTATAGCATTGTTGCCTGAGCATTTCGAGGAAAATAGAAAACTGCTATTTACTGAAAATAATCATACTTATTATGAAACTCAGGTTGTGTGTGTGTGTCTGTTCATTAATATATCGGATCAGATTTCCTACATTTTTCAACCGATTTCAACAAAACTTCACAGGACTACGTAAAATTACCTTGCGGTGGTTCTGACAGCACCAAAAATTGAAAAACACAATTGTTTTTGCATGAAATCAATTTGAAAACACAATTAAGAGGCATTGCTGTCGTGAGAATTAAAGGGGGACAACTCATATCGAGTTATACTTATTATAAAACCCAGGTGGTTGTTTGTGTGTGTGTGTTCATTTATATATGGGATCAAATTTCCTACATTTTTCAACTGATTTCAACAAAACTTCACTTTTTTGGGGGGCAGGTAGTGTTTCTTATTGTCTTGCACACCTTTTTTCTTTATTTTTACATTCAGAATGCTTTAAAAATTCCATTTACAAGACAATTGTTTATAATAAAATTCTATCTCTTACTGTTACATCCCCGGGCAACACTGGGCTCTACTGCTAGTTAACTATAACACTGATGGCAATTTTTCATAGGTGCTGACAGTTTGATTTTGATTGTTTATTAGATTTTAATTTGAACTTGTTTCAAGTTGCTACAAATTAATAAATGGATAGATAGAGGTTTGGTTTACCCTATAGTAAAAAAAAAGAAAGAAAAAAAGAAGTTTAAACAGAGGTTGGCAAGTATCCACTTAAAGCCCCGTTGACAGGGCAACAATAGCTAAGATTATGAACTTACAAATCATGCACACACACACAAATGTATAAGTGTTGTATAACTGTAAGCAGTCTGCAATTAAATTGCATAATGCTTGCTACTTTTCAGTGATTAATACACTGAAGTACACACTAAGCTAAATGACACCATTCCCAACACAGTATAATAAAAAGACATCACATAGCGGGTTGTATTGTATGCTGCTGTGTGTTTACACTAGTTTGTAAATAGCAGCAAGTGCTAATTAGTTTATAACACAAATGATATTCCACAGTATCTTTAAAATGTATGTATATGTCAATAGCGATTTTCCAAGCATAGCTCAGATGTGGCACAAGGCCTAAAGTATGGGACACCCAGTGAGGATTGAACTCATTACTCTTCGTAATTGTTCTAGCAAGATAAGCTGGCTAACCATTACACCAAATTGAGGTGCCCTAAAAGATTTTCTAACTGTAACTTAGATGTGGCACAAGGCCGAAAGTAGGGGGTACCCACTGAGAATCGAACTCACTACTCAGTTGTAATTGTTCTAGCAAGACAAACTTGCTAATCATGTATATGTCAATAGTAGGGAATGTAAGTTTTGTAAAGATGTATAAGTACATCCACAGCATCAGATGTGTTAAAAAAATTCACAATAATGAAAAAGAACGCAAAAAAAATTATAATAAACAAATTCATGTGAAAAAATATACATTCAGACAGAAGTAGTAGTTTGTAGTAACTTGAAAAATGTCAAAAAAATTTAATGGTTAAATTCTCTATAAAAAGTGACAATCACTTGGCATTGGACTTTGGGATGCATCAAGAAACAATGGCTAAGAAAAATTAAGCTTTTATGCAAACAGGCAATACAGAATTTCTAGAAATAGAAAACACTAAGTGACAAAAATTTGTGATAGATATTTCTGTTAAAAAACCTCCAGAAAAGCAGTGTAGCTACAAAGCTCATGATAGACAACAGTAAAGGAGTTTGCAGAAAGAGAATAAATATCTTGCTTTTCTTCACTTTCAAAGACCCACATTAAGTATTAGTTTATCTGGTCAGTACCTAGAAGGACAACTGCTTGGGAGTACCAGGTGCTGTGTGTAAGTGTTGGGGTTGTAATGGATAATG